ATAAGTTTGGACAAGAAGTTTCCTAACATGATAATATAATTGGGAAGTGATTGTGATGAGGCAGAACATAGCAACAAGAATGAGTAGCACATTATTCAAGAATTGATTAGTGCCGAAACAGAGAAATGAAAAGGAAAGGTGAGGGGGAGGAGTGGGGGGGAAAGGGGGGGTTAGAGGCGATTTCAGAGACTGAAAACTAACACCATGAAAGGAGAAGGGGTTGAACAATCTTCTTTTGTGTACACAGTTCAGGCTTCTCCATATGGATGGTGACAGATTCGGCGATGCAGAGAATACAAAGACATACAGCCTTTGGAAGGTTTCTTTTTACTTCCTAGATGACTTTGAACGAGGAGGTTCTTGAGATGGGGTGGTTCGTATTCACGATGTGTTCAATGTTAGCGCTCCTTATCGCCTTATTGTTACTTATTTGTAACCACGTGGGATAGAGTTCTTGAACTCTTTTGGGTAACAGTCGCATCGAACGACCTATATACCTGGCTCCACGAGAGCAGTTGAATCGACATATGCACATTTTTGTTTACTTCTGTCCTCTGTATACTTGAATCAATTTTACAAGGTATACAAATGGTTCGAGCTAGTTATATAGGCCGCACAAAGCGCACGCTTTCCAAACGTATCCCGGAGCACTATCCTGCATGGTTGTCGAGGGGAGAATGTAAATCAATTAACAGTTCAATTCTTGAACATTTGGTCAACTCTGGACATAAAGCTAGACCAGAATTTTCCTTCAGTGTCATTTTTCGTGTCAGATGGAATCGTTCAAAAGGAGTACGCCTTCGATAGTTGTGCACAGCGGAGGCACTGGCAATTTATCAATTCAAGCCTGATCTCTGCGTGCAAAAGAAGTATGTTCAATCTCTCATCTTACCATGGTCGTAACCCTTTATTTTTTTCGATTTCATTACAATTAATTAGTTTATTATTATCACTTTCATTATGACCCTTGTCTCATTCTTCACCTTCTTTACATCCATCTATCTATCAAGTGGACACTCAATATTTGCGTTTCTTATCTACCAACAATTTTCACCTTGTCAAACTCCTTGCCTTCCTCGATATTTCTACTGTCTTAGATTATTACGCAACTACTTTGCAATCCTGATTCAGTTTTTCGTAGCACTTGGTTAGTGATGTAATTATATCCTATTGTTTTATAATGGACTGTTATATGCTTATGATATATATAAATACGATTGTACAGCTTTAGAAAATGATATCGTCGAAAAAGAAAATTTTCTTCGCTCAATTATCTCTTCTCTATGACTCAATGGGCATGTTTCGTAGTCTAGTAATTTTTCATAGGAAGGTATGAGAAGTGGGGAAAGTTTGGTTCATTTTGATACAATTTTTATCATAAATAGAGGAGTAAGTTGTGCGAATACTTGAAATCAATGAGGAGCGTGGATCTAGGTTTCATTTTCTCATTTTATAAATCTGCTTACAATGTTCACTGTCATCTGTTCACAAGCCAAACTGTATACTTCATGGTTATATGACATATATGACTAGTTTCGGAATAATATCATTTTCCCTAGTGTTATATCAGATGAAAGGAGTAGGTTTATTTGTTCATACTAATGTAATCGAGGTAGCAATTTATAATTTCCTTTATATTTTGGTTGTTTAAGTAAATTCTTGTTCACAAACCGAAATGAACTTGATTGTAATTGATGTCTATGGATATACAAAGTTCATCTGATCGAGTCGAATCGAAATACACTCAACAACCGTGTTCACATTCATGCAGTAGGTAGTGACCCACACCTATTGTGTGAGAGCTAGTGATAATACATGGTTGTGCAAACCTCGTTAGGTGGGTTGGTGTTCACATCCATAACCCACTGGTTGAAAGTCAACTCCCTAGACCAATAAGCCCCAATTCCGCTAGTTTATTTGATGGAATATGTTTGATATTTAATCTACCTGTAGATAAAAACAAGCTTTAATTAGTAGGCATATTGATTGCCTGATTGACTGGCAAAATGAACGTAGAACCTTGGACATAGGTGTATCGGCTCAAGTTGCCATACTTCACAGTAGTACACAAGGAACAAGTGGATAGAAAAGGAGTGATATCAAAGAAGATAAAGTAGTGTGTGGGAATAAGCAATCTAAAGATAATGGATAGCGCAAATATTCAAGCTTTACAAAACGTCAAAGAATGATCACATCTGCACCGTTGTGGCTGATTTTCATCCATGTTACTAAGATCTCTCAACCAGTGACTCCTATTGTCTCACAGACCCCAACCAAGCAGTCTTTATCTCCGCACACGGCTTAAACCAATGGTAAGAATTTCACTGACTGGTGCTAGGTCTTGGTCTGGTCACCCTAATCCCTCTCCTAACCTCATTCAGCTTTCCCCTAGCATGACAAGTTGAGGTTGGCTTGGGATAGGCATTACATGCCAAAGCCATCTTAGCCGATTAAGGTCCACAACCTCATCACTAGACTTGCTTTTCGTGCCTAGTATCCTTCGCCTGACCTCAACATTGCTCACACAGTGATTCCACGAAACTTGAGCAATGCTACGAAGACACTCGTAATCGAAACCCTGTAACCACTTCATGCCGTCTACTTTCAACGGTCTTGTCTCACAGCTGTACATTAGGAGAGAACGGATTGGAGCGCAGCATGCTCATTCTTCGATAGGTGGTCAGATATCTTGCCAGTCGGCACCAAACATAATGCAATTTGGAAAATGCCAAACGAGCGTTTTGTATCCAAGCTAAGATTTTGTCGGCAACCAGCCCGTTTGGACGGAGAAATAAATGTTGAGGCATCGATGAAAAAAATATTTAGTAGACTACTGTAAAGCAGCAACATTGTCTTTCGTTGATGATACTTTCATTTACGGAAACTGATGTGTATTGAAGCGTTCATTTAATATAGATCAATAGTTGTGAAGTTATGAATCATTGTGAGAGATAAGGTGAACTTTGAAGCATTCCTGAGTGCGTAAGACGTTGGGAATCACTTGAAAGAAAGCACTAAACCTTAGGCTTTGTGCTTATTAACACTAATCAGCAAATTATATCGGGAAACATGGAAAAGTTTGCGTCCCTGCAATATTTCGATCCTCCATCAATCAGTGCTTAAGTTAGCGACTATGAAAATTTATTGTACCGTTGCATCATGTCACTTAGCTTGGTAATCACGTTGAAAACTTGGTCGGTGGGGGGTCGGTCAATACTGAACACTAGGGACTAGACATCTATATCGCTTACACATTGATGAATAATTCATGTATTTCTCGATATGTTCTGTCATGTCAACTTTCATACTTTAAAGTATATGTAAAAAGAAATTGAGATGTCATTCGTTTCAGGTAACTGTTTATTTCCTTCATGATTTTATATGATGAGTAGTATTAAAATCAGTGAGTTATTCTCTTTGCTCAACATCAATGTTACCTGTCTAACAGTCAGTTACTCACCTAGTAATCAATTGTCTGTCGTACACCAGTGGTCAAACATCAATCTGTTGAAGAGGATATTTGTCATTGCTAATAACAAAGTCTAAATGGAGTTTCATAGATTCGTTTTTTGCAATTACAAATAGTGGATGCAAGCATCTCTCAAGAACGGCACCAAACATGTTGTACTTTTCAAACTTTATTAATGGGTTTTACAAGTCTGAGATAGAGACTGACAACCCTTTTTAAATAAAATCCCAATAAAGGTTATACCACAAATTGATGTCAACTGGAGGAATCTTGAATTTCAGAATGGGATGAGACTGTCATTTTAGTGTGGAATTCCTCATCAATGCAGCACATTCACCTCATTTCACTGCTGATTTCAACCAGTGAACAAAAACATTTGGAAATCAGTCATTTCTCCTACATAGCTACCAACTGAATGACTATGACTACTTTTTTCACGAAACCTTGTGGTGTTTAGCCGCACAAGCACAGCTATGCATTATTAGTACTCTGAGAACTATTAAATATTACATCCATGAAAAGGATACTTTATTAATAGACGGAAAAATTGGTATAGGTGTGTTGTCGAAGCTTAGCGAGGGGTACCCCGTACGACGGAGTAACAAATTTTGACATTAGGCAATAAAGTAAGTCAGAAAGACGAATATACTCGTGGTCATTGTCACAGCATATTAAGTATGTGGAGATATTTTAGGTGCCAATGTCTTGCTTCTGTCAGTAACTTGATTGGATAAGTCCATCTTCACAAGTTTCTTGATTATATTAGTCGATAAACTGATTTTGATGCATATGGATGGCGACTGTGAGATTGGAACCATTAACCTGTCAGTCACTGGCCCGGTATGAGATCTCACTACTAATCAGATCTTGATGAAGTCCAGTCATCCGAAATCTTGCTCAGCTGCTGTGTATGTGATTAAAACTAAACTATACGTATGGTGTCTTCTTGTTCCTGTCTGAAACGAGCTGAACTTGAAAGTCAGAAGCTATTGACCAACTGTTAACCCTTTGATTTAAAAAGACTATTCTTCGTTTACGGGAATTACAACCAGTAACCTGACAGTTTATTAACCGCTCTTCAGTTCGTCAGTTTTGTAAAACTCCGAGTGGTTATGATGGAACTGTAACTTTGTTAGCCGTTAGGTACCTTATGATTCAGTGGACCACGAAAACGTCGGTGGGGGGTCGGTCAATGCTGAACACTAGGGACTAGACATCTATATCGCTTACCCATTGGTGAATAATTCATGTATTTCTCGATATGTTCTGTCATGTCAACTTTCATACTTTAAAGTATATGTAAAAAGAAATTGAGATGTCATTCGTTTCAGGTAACTGTTTAATTCCTCCATGATTTTATATGATGAGTAGTATTAAAATCAGTGAGTTACTCTCTTTGCTCAACATCAATGTTACCTGTCTAACAGTCAGTTACTCATCTAGTAATCAATTGTCTATCGTACACCAGTGATCAAACATCAATCTGTTGAAGAGGATATTTGTCATTATATATATATATATATATACCATCACCCATGATATTCCTGATTGTGCTGTGGTGGACTGAATCATGCAACAAACTGTGAGGAGCAAGAAGAGGGGGATACATTGGACCAGGGAAAAGAACCTAAAATACTTAGAGTTCACCGATGACTTGTGTCTGACGTCGTACAAACTTGAAGATCTACAGGCGAAAACTAACAAGTTGGCAGAAGAGGCAGCGAAGACGGGAGTTCAGGTGAATATAGAGAAGACAGAGGTGATGAAGATGCCCAACCCTCAACACCAACAACAACAACAACAAACTCCAATCACCATTAACGGGAGAAACTTAGAGGAAGTAGCCTCCGCCTATCTAGGAAGCACTGTTTCAACTACAGGTGGCACAGATGAGGAGGTCAAAGTCAGGATCGGAAAAGCAAGTCAGGCGTTCATTAACTTGAAACCAGTGTGGAGATCTTCTGCACTCAGCACAGAGTGAACAAGATGTGGATTGTTAACACCAACGTGAAGTCAGTGCTTCTGTATGGCTCGGAGACTTGGCGTGTTACGAAAGGGATTTCCAACAAACTACAGACATTCATCAACAGCTGTCTACTCTCGTTACTGAAGATCAGATGGCCAGAACAATGAGAATAAGCAACAAGGAACTCTGGCTGATGACGAAGCAAGCAAGAACCTATAGCTCAACAAATATGCAGAAGGAAGTGGAGATGGATTGGGTATACACTGAGAAGGCCGACTGGGGACATCACGTGCCAGGTCAGATGTTCGGGTGGAACCCCGAAGGGAAGCGACGAGTTGGGCGTCCGTGGTGAGGGTTACATGGAGGAGATCGTGCGAGGAGGAAATGAGAGCTTGTGGACTGTTTTTGAGCCAGGTTCAAAAGATTTCAGAGAACACAGCGCGTTGGAGACGTGCTACTGAAGCCTTATGTTCCATTACGAACCCAAGGGACAAATAATAATAATAATAATTATATATATATATATATATATATATATATATATATATATATATGGATCAGTCTTAGTGTTCGAAAATAGTGACTACACACTAATAATACCAGCAATAAAGACTTACATCAGGTAAAATTGACGCCATTGTCATTAGTGATTCATCACCATCTATTTGACTACAATCTGTACAACAGTGCTTGCATAAGTTAACTTCACTTCGCTCTGTAAACAGAAAATAATTAACTATTGAGTAAATAAATACATTATTCAAAGCTCAAGAAGAGATGATTCAGTTTGTAATAATAACTTGAGCTACATTTGGATTCGCTAAATATTGAAATCCAGAATACTGTCTGAGTTACAGAATTCAAATGGTTTGGTTTATTGGTTTCGTTGAGATATGCACATACGGTAGATTATGGACGAGTAGTTTGCAAACTGGATAACTGAAACATGATACTCGACAACTCACTCGGTTAACATAAGAGAGAAAACACCACTGTACTGTAAAAGTTCAATTTAATCAGAAGACTATGAAATATATTATCATCTCCCAAACTACCAACCTATAATGTTTGAGCTATATATAAACTCTATAGTTTTTATAAATAAAATAATACCTTGAGGATAAAGTGTTGATGTAAAATATTCCAATAAATATGACTAACCATAATGGCTAATATTCTAGTTGATAACTTTTTCGCCCACCAACGCATGCTACCATGACGTGGCAGTCGGGCTTGTGTATCACAATGACCCAACAAGCTACACTGGCAGGAACCCTTGTTCCTTCGAGGTCCTATCATACCAGAAAGGTCTATCGGATAGTGACTAGGCGAAAATTAATGACTCTTATAGTGTAAACTCCTATGCTATGATCGGGGTCTGAGGGCGAAGTCACAATGCTGGCTGAATGGGTGTGACAGCAGTAAGGTGTTTCCATTGGATGACCAGCTGTGCCACGCTGATTCTGCCTTCCCTATGGGAAGGGAGAGTTAAAAAAAGGCTGACAACAAAATAGACCACTCCTCCCTACCCCAAAGTCTTCCAATGCTGGCGGTACAGGTTTTCTCTCTTCAACCTTGGAATAACTAGGTCACGAAACAAGAACTCGCCAAGCGTTGTGTGTGACAGGTTTCAACCAGATGTCCCATGGGCTCTGTCGTCACACAAATCCTTTCATCTTTCAAGTACCCTAAGAAGAAATAACCTTTCACGGTGTGGGTAGCCGGCAAGTGTCAACCACCCATAAGCTTCCACTAGTATTCCAGACCCAATTAAATATAACCTGTCCTTCTTAGCTGTCTCCTCCTTTGTCTTTGTCCCCTGGTACTAATATTCAGCCTCCTACACCTTCCTCAACCTCTCCCTCGGAGACTATTCCTAGCCATCAAAGCCAGCGAAAGATCATTCGTAGGCTCCCAAAACCCTGCCATCGACTTCATATTGGCACTTTCAACCTCCTAACCCCACGCCACATACGGAAGCAAGCATCGTTCACCAGAACTTTGGAATTTCCAGACACGGGTGAATGTTATGTCTCTAAAAGACGTAAGACACGTATATACAACCTGAGTGTGGTTATTAATTTGACCTCACCTAACCAGTGTGATGAACCTTCAAAATCCACCCTGCGAGTATCCAGAGGCCCAATGGCTAACCCTCGCTGACTCACTGGTGTAGGCATAGCATTGGGCTGTAGGACAGAGACTGCGCTTCTCGCTATTCGACTGAATGGATCTGTAAGAAATACAAACGATCGTGAGACCACCCGAAGCCTACTAGTAATCTCTGCCTATACACCCACCAACTACAGTTCAAACGATGAAAAGGATGAGTTCCACCAGAAGCTGTCAATTTTGTTACAGAAAGCAAAACATGCACATATAGTCATAATAGCAGGCAACTTCAAAAGTCAAGTAAAGCTCAATCAGTCGGAAAGGCATCCTGGAGGTACCTATGGAATCCCGTACAAACTAACCGATAACGGTGATCGTCTTCTGCAACTTCGTCCCAACAACCAAATGTTTCTGGTCAGCAACATCTTTAAGCATAACGAGACGCACTGTCTCACATAGCCTCCACCGACGCCAAACCAATGACAGACACATATAGATCATATTGCTATAGTCCGCCATTACAGAGAATCGGTGGAGGATCCCTCCTCACTCTGTAGTACTTGTTTGAACTCCAATCACGTTAGTACGGGCACGTGTACGTCTGCAACTTACTGCTTGCAGAAAACAGGCAGCAGTTGAAGCAGTGCGTCGTTGATTGGAAGACGAGAACGTCAAGTGCGTATTTAGAGAGGAAATAGCTAAGGATTCATCTGAAAATGATACCAATGTTCATCCTGAAGAAGTCTGGCATGACAGTTGGTAACCTACACCACAACGTCATCCGAACTGATTGATGGGAGAAGACGGATTCTAGCTGCCTGTGACTACAATAAAGAGCGAAAGCAACTTAAACGAAAACTGACCAAGAGCATTCACAACGACTGCTCAACGGTGGGTGGTGAGAGCGAGAGAGGTGGAGAAGGCATCGGCATTAGGTAATTCTCTATAATTTATCCAGGCTTATTAGGTAGGGATACTGGAAAGAAGACGATGGTTAGTGAGGCCATCACCAGAAAGGATGGAGCGCTGATAACGTCTCAGGACAGACGACTAGAACGTTTGGCAGAAAACTGAAGCACAGTCTAACTGGCTCATAGGAACGCTTCAGTTAACTAACATCTAGTCTGAACCTACATGAGACGAAGATGTCAATCCTCCAACTGTTGGGGAAGTTGAGAAAGCTGTTTCGAAGAGTAAAAGATGCAAAGCAGCAGGAAGTGACAGTTCGCCAACTGAATTTTTCAAGGATGAAGGTAGGAACATGCTGCTTAAAGTGACAGAGGTATTACACAGTGAGTGGGATTCAGAGGTAGTGCCGCAAGACGAGTCTACTTCGCTGATCCTCTCAGTATATCAGGAGGGAGAGAAATCTTCCTGTGACAACCACAGGAGAATTAGTTTGACTGATACTGTGTCCAACATTCTTGGCTCCATAGTTATCTGATGCGTAAATGGAACTCAAGAACAGCAAACTCGAGAAAACCAGGCAGGTTTCAGACCCAAACGAGGTTGTGTCGATCAGATTCTAACCCTCCGACAGGTTCTGGAACACAGATATGCCTACTCGCAGCCGACACTTGCCATATTTCTCGACCTGAAGACTGCATTCGACTGCCTACCGTGAAGTGTTGTGTCAGTGTATGACTGTGAAGGGAATATTGAGAAAGTATATAACGTTAATCAACGCTCTCTACCTAGGAAAAACAGCTTGAAAATACTTCATTCACTTCACCGTACAAGTGCCGCTTTTGATGTTGCTCAGAATTTATCATTCAGAATCAACACTCAGCTCACAGTGTTGGTATTTCATGTGTTTTGGTACTTCGTATTTCTTCCTTAGACGTTATGAAACTCCATTTACAAGGTTCTTGATAAATGCAGATTTAACTTACGTAAACAAACACATTATCAATTAGATTCATAGTACATGAATAATAGCAAGCTGTTTACTCTTTAATTAACTTGCTTTCAGAAAAAAAGTTGGTTAGTTAGTTCATCCCTAAGAATTTCACCGCCATATAGGAGACAAGCTAAATACGGTATTGTAAAGTTTCTGTATGTAGTAGTATGTGCACAAAGTCTTATATGCTTGCTCCTCATCTTTCTTGACGATCAATACACAAAGAGCTTTGAGTGAAGAGGGCGATGACCGTCTGACAAAATAACTCCCGTGAGATGTTTTAAATAAGTTAAAGTGTTTGTCCACAACAGTTTTAATTAGAAGGTCTAAAAGTATACCACCAGTTTTGCTGACAATCTTCAAAGTCCTACGCAATATTGCGTAGTCTTTTTTAGCAACCCGAGAAAGAATAAAGGGGAACGATAGAAGAGAATAAACAAGACGCAGGAATTTATTAAACACAAGAGAAAAGACTGTTATGCCAAATGCTCTCAGCTTCTTAATATAGTAAGTTAAGCGGAAATTAGTAAGATCTGGGAGGACCAGGAAAGGTCCGAAGAAAAACACACACCAAGATAAATCACGCTTGTAACATTCTCTAATGCGCAACCATCAATGGAACAGAAAGCATGAGATCTGATCAGTTTACATAGGTTATGTTCACGTCTGAAACTGAAGTTGATAGTCGGACATTTTGAAGAATTAAGCATAAGACCATTCTTGGAGGGACACTGTCTAACAATAGATAGAAAATCACTTAGTCGGGAACAACCTGTTGAAGAGAAGACAGGTATAGAAAATGTCAGATCATTAGCATATTTGACAAAACTGATACTAGCTGAAGACGGTAAGTCATCCAGAAAGAAAGAGAAAAGACACGGAGAGAGGACAACAGTTTGGGGAATACCAGTCACAGTAAACAATGAGGTGGGTTTGAGCACAAGTATTATTGACTTCATTATTTTCAAGAACGAAGTAACTGTAATCAGATGTTTACCTGAAGTCACCGACTTAGGTACGGCGACTATCTTAATATCTTACTAGGCAACAGGTATTAATGATAGTGAGCGAAGTGGTGGAATGTGTCGACCACTTCACTTACTTGGGAGCTGGGATCAGAACAAACAGGCTGGTTGCTGACAAAATCTTAGCTTGGATACAAAACGCTCGTTTAGCATTTTCCAAATTGCGTCATGTTTGGCGCCGACTGGCAAGATATCTGACCACCTATCAAAGAATGAGTACACTGCGCTCCAGTCTGTTCTGTCCCAATGTACAGCTGAGACAAGACCTCTGAAAGTAGAAGACATGAAGCGGTTACAGGGTTTCGATTATACATGTTTCCGCAGAATTGCTCGTGTTTGATGGGATCACCGTGTGAGCAAAGTTGAAGTTAGGGGAAGGGGACTAAACAAGATAGGCATTCGACTGATTAGGTTGTGAACCTTAGGCGACTGAGGTCGCTTGGACATGTACTGTACATGCCGAGTCACCCCTACATCAACGTCCCATGCTAGGGGAAGTTAGATTAGTTTGGAAGAGGGCTCAGGGTGTCCAGAATAAGACGTGTCATCAGCTTATGAAGTCCTTGACTGCTGATCTGAACCGTTTGAGATGTAAACTGCTTGTCTAGGGGTCTTCGAGGCGAGTTTGAGGATCCTTGATGACATGGTTGAAGATCTGTCACACTGGCGCAGATATATTCAGTCTCTGACATTCTCTAAAGCTTGAATATTTTCACTAACTGTTACCTTCAAATTGTTTATTCTCTTACATAACTTTGTCTGCTCTTTTTCTATCCACTTGTTCTTTGTATACTACTGTGAAGTGTGGCAACTTGAGCCGATGCATTTGTATGAGAGGGTCTACGCTGATTTTGTCTGTCTGTTCAGACCTTGGTATATGTAACTAGGATTCAAACTAATAATACATTGTTTGGAAGACAAATAGTCAAACCAATGAGCCATACCTTCACTGAAGAATCAGTACAACAATGATAAGATCAATCAGAAATAAATTCACAAGTTCTTAAGTTTTACCTTTTAATTCGCTGTTATTATTTATTTCCTTCGAACGACTTGGTAAAATAGAAATATCCTGATGGATTTGAGTATCTCTACCACACGCATTTGACTTTTCCTTGATTATATTGCTAACTGAAGAAAACCACTCCAAGAAAACTTCTCTAGATAAAAAGCGATAACAAAAGAGAGCGTTTTCATCTACTCAATACTGTAAAGTCCTTAAATTAAAACAAAAGCGTCAAAGTGAAGCATTTCATTGCTGAACTTAATGTTTGAAATCCATCGATTTGTATAAGCCATATGCATAACATTACACTGCTTATTAAGTAAATGCTTCGTCTACTACTAATTTTGCCTCAATATCTAATACAAATTGGCGGGTACCTTTCTTAGTAATGATAACTTGACACAGTAATAAGGTTAGAACAATTTCAACTTGAGATTTGACCATGCCAAAAAGGTTGCTTGCATATGTAGTAAGGTAAAAAAAAAAGACGTTAGCGCAGGTGTGGATGTGCTACGCATAGGGATAGTCCGGAAGCAAAGTATTAATACTGACTGGACATAGATATGGTGACAGTAAGATGTTTCTCGAGACGATAAGCATCTCAAACGTGCTGCCTTCCCACTTTGAGGACACTTGACCCTATAGACGATGGTTCTTTGATTTTCCAATGTCGATGGTAAAGTTCTAAAGGAATGGACCACAAGGCCTATAAAAGATATGTGACAGGCCTTAAGCAGATGTATCTTGGATTTTGCTGTCAAGCGGAATACTTTAAGAATGCATAAAGTTTCACATTATGGATAACAAGGAGGTATGAACTCACAACATCCTTCTAATAGCACATAAATCCTTCCCTACTGATCACCAACTATTTTCATTGTTTCTCTCCGTTACCAAGGTCATAAACTCTATGGTCACTCTAATTTCTAACTGAAATCACTGAAAACGGCTCGAGTCGATGCAACACTAACTCCAGTTTCTCAAAAGCGCAGTGCTAACTGCAAGGTATAGCTTTCAAAGCTCTAACCCCAACTTTAACTAAAAGATAGACCTCACTAACCAAAAATCCGGAATCCCAGTGTACAGATATTTCCTGCGTCTCTGAAACGTGCAAACAAGACCTAAGTGTAACCATGCTCCTTAATTCCAAGTGATCGATACGGTGTTTGCAGAACTCACGTTATTAATGTCAACAGATTCGGCAGCTAGTTTTTGTAGACTGCTGGTGTAGGAGTAAAATTAAGTTCTAAAGCTGAAAGTGCACTACTCAAGTGAATCCTAGTTGGAATTCGTTTAAATAGCTTTCGACTGAGTGGATTTATAAGAACATAAAATAGCCACAAAATATACCAAAAAATATTTAGTGTCTGTTCAGGTGTCCAATATTTACGGTCTGAACAATATACAGTCAAATTAACTACAAAAGACGCACCCATTTTGATAGGTGATACCATTGCTCAAACAGAAAGGCTGAAACAATCCAAAATTTATTCCTGGAGTATCTAACGAGTCCCATGTTAACGAACAGAAGAAAGGTGATTATAACATGTAGCTTTGTTCTTCTAATCACCTGTTTCTGACTACAACTTTATATTTTCTGTTGCAGACATCATATCAACTACAGATATAGATATATCGTACTGCTACTGTGATTTTATTTACTTGTTTGAATAAAAAACTTGGTGAGGCATGACTACGAAGAAATATACCACAAAGATAAAATCATCGGAAAACTAAAGTGATGTAAAGAAGGGTTTCTGTCTTTTGCAATACCCGCTTAGAAACTAATCATGCAGTAATTCGAACACATGCATTTATGCGTGAATGGGTGAAGGAAACATAGCTGGAAAATCTCTGTGTGCTTGATTCGAAGATGAAAACATCCAGTTTATATTCAAACAAAAAGTAACTAAGCATTTTTCTGAATATGATAGAGATACCCCCTCCTATCTAGCTTGACACTATATACAGTACCCCATAGAAAGTAGTAAAGATCTGTACTGGTACTGGAAGGCAGAATTTCTTAACGATGGTTGACACTAATTACATTTCTAAACCAAAAAGTGACAACAAACTCGACAGATCCTGCGTGCGCTTAAGTTTGAAGGAATGCTGAGAAAATACACTATGCTAAAAAGGCTTTCTATTCGAATTCACACATGTGGCCGTTTATAGAAAAACATCATCTGAACTGACAACAATTACTGTTGTCCGCTAAGAATTTTTACGGTGACCGTTCTTGTCAAACCATCCTGATGAAGAAGAGCTAGTCAACTTACATTTCATGAATCTATATGACAAGGAACCTTTGGCTGACATACACTACGCAGAAGATTATGATTATGGGCAATAATTTATGCTCAAAATGTCATCAAGTAAATAATACTGTATGACTATATGCTGTATATCAAATAAACAAATCTAATGAAGAAGTAGCCATGTTAGGGGAAGAAGCTGGAAAAGGTATAAAGGTTTTTGAAAATTTTCAGGAAAATTCTGGATAGATTCAGCGCGCTTTTCCCACCTTTTGAATTTAACACATTTTTGTAGGAAAAGTTTACACTAGCACCCACTTTAAAGAAATGGAGTGCAGTAACAGAATACATCAACTACTTGCTTAGCTGAGAAACCTCATCATCTTAAATATGTTGGTTACTATTGAAACTTAAACATGGACAAAAAACTAATCAATGTTTGCCAACCCTATTCATCTGTAGTGAAAGATTTATCAAGTCACCCATTGAACACGATATGCCCAATAGTTCGCTTCACTCTAATCAGAGGCTGCAAAAAACGAACATTTCCAACCAGAAATGTCTGTTAACACAGCTCACTCATCAGGCAGTATTGAAGTTGTAAACAGTATTCTCAACAGGAAAGATGAATCAACCAACAACAATGTAAACCTTCACAGAACGATGGACCCGGGGCATTTAGTAGGTATGCATAATGTTAGATGGAGTACAACTAGATGGGAGAAAAATTAATGTGGCCAAGTGAATATATAGAAATAACCCATAAAATCAGTGACTAGTTTGAGTCGTTCGGCTGCCTGGCAATGCAAGTTTCCCAAAACACCCGCTGCAAGACAAGTAGTACTATTTCATTATTTCGCCTATAATTAGATCCATTCAAAATGATTATCAGCGTGGTAAAAAGATCTACTAACAACCAGACTATTTAAATCGAACTATTTCAAAACTTCAGAGTGACTGCTATAAATATTATGCATTTTAAGTTTGTTGTTGATCCCCTAAGTATGAAATAAATTTCTTATTGTTTTCCCTTTTTCCACCTTAATCTCAGTCCCGAGTAGCTAGACCGAAACCACTGGAATATTTAGCGACCAAATCCTTACAACAGTCTTCAGTTCATAACAGTAGGAAATCGCAGGTGACAGAACTGAATGGTAACCTATTATCGAAACAAACTTGAAGCCTAGAAGTACTTGTAACTACAGTACGACCTTAGTGCTCATCTAGATGCACAACAATGTACTAGATCACTAAACTGTATGCGAAGTGAGAAATGGGAGACAGGTATAAATCCTATCCAGAAGGGTAATCTAAGTGCAATATATTCTAACTATAAGGAAATTTAACACAAGAAACTTCCCATGACTGGTAATTTCACACATATATTGCGACAGGATTCTAATAACGCTCACTTAACTTTTTATGTGCTTGAACTGCTGCTTATCAATACACTACCTGTCTGAGGTTGCTGAAATGTCAGGAATCAGTAGTTGGAGACTCGATGACATAGCTCAAATAGATCACAACAGAACAGAAATGTATCCTCTATAGCTTAATAAATTATGAATACTTTATTGATCTTTACTTTTGGTTGAACTTTTCTGTCTCAGATTTTAACATCTCACTATATTCCTTGACCATTTCCATGTGCAATTAATGCGTGTAGCAACTTGAAAATATAGTATTTTGTGAGAAACTCTACTCTGTACCATCCGTCCGACTTCGATAACAACTCATGGAGTCACCACACTCAATCACTAATTCCTATTCTTAAAATAGGTATCAGAGCGAAGCAATGTTTGAACTTCATTTTACGTTTTAGAGGTGTGAAACGCACTAAGTATATTCAAACTTTTGATCAATTAGTTTGGTGATCCCTGTAACTTGTCAGTACCTGTCTAAAAGAACTATGTTGTCTATGTGCTCTAGATTAATCAAGGCGCAATGTGCTGTACATGTACAGCCACTATTCACCTTGAAGGGTAGTGTTAATTAAAATAGAGTCAGTCTGACATTCATCAAAATGAACCATATGAGAATATATACTGAAGGTTGGGTGTATTACATGACATCCTTCCCAGTTACATGGCTACGGAAGATGAATATTTAAGGATGAAGGTTCCCAAGGTCTAAATTTATTTGGGAACTATTGTCTAATTGATCAATTCTTTTCAAATCCGTTGTAACTGAACTTGGTATAGTTATTCATCCATTAGAACATGAGGCACATTATCGTTCGAGGGTTTAAGATACTATGAAGTTGCCCAAACCAAAGTGCAAAGAAAATTCTGAATTCCGTGCCCAGTGGATGATAGTCAACTTATCATACCGCACAAGAAACGGTGACCATTTCAGAGGTTACGCTTAGAGTCTTAGGTGAAAGAGGTAAGTTATTTGATACAGTTGTAAAACTTTATTAACCTAAGTAGCTTTGCCATCGACTATGCGTGCAAATTCACCCCTTACCCTGATGTGAAACGCATACTGAAATAAGGTTGGGTTGTAAAAAAGCTAAGATCAGTTACACTAAATCATGACATCAGTCGGTCAAGAGCAACTTTCCAGATTAAGGTCCAGGAGACAACCTGTGGAGACTGCCTAAATAGTCTTTATATCCTTAAATCGAACAGATATCTACTTTCGATCTAAGATTTTTCCCGCCCGCCACAAACTCAATACGGTGGTTGTAGACTGTACGTGATATTGCTCAAAATCGACCGCTCAATCACACCTAATCACCCAAATCTGTTTGTCTTTATCCTATGGCTCTTCTGTGCAGTGAATTTTTTTCTTTGTTTCTTAGTCTGCATATTCCACTGGACAGCCTTATATTAATTTTGCCAAATTAGATCGCTATGCAGTTATCCTATATCCCATCTTGACAACATTTATCCTGAGAAGCACCCAAAACTGGCGTTTTCTTGGCATAAAAAGGTTTACTGATAAGATCCAGTGTGACGAAGAATACTGAATAGCTCCCATAGGTAATAGTATTTAGCAGATCCTACCGCAGAAGCCTATTTACTTGGTTTACAGATGCCGAAAATTTTATCATGATCAGGCCATTTTCGGTAATATACAACGAAAGTAAAATGTTTGGTGGAGAATGTACAAACCAAAGTAAATAGATTAAGCTTGCCAGTAAGACTGTTTCTAACATAGAAAATAATATACCCCTACACGTATAAACAATTTAGCGTACTTTTGTTATCTGACCGGAAAACATGATATGACTTCAGGAAATCACTTGTACTTTAAGGAGAGAGACTGTAAGCTGTGACATTAAAGGGTGTAAGATAGCGTACTGATTCACGTTTTCGCAAATGAACAGATAAACAAGAAAAAAAGTGACACGAAAGAATATATGCACAAGGAACATTTAGCTAGACAACAGTGTTCCAGACCCAGGAAAACACGTAGAATGCCTGTATTACTGACAGATTTTGAGCCATTGTGGAACCTTTATGGGCCTATTTTTATATGGCCAGCACAGTATATTACGTTTGGAAGTAGCTAAGCTAGAGTACCATGAAACAAGCTGAGAGCATATTAGAAATAATTTGGATTGATAAACCAGAAAGTAAAATACAGATCAATATTAAAGCGGTTAAGATTGCTCAAGGTAGCAACAACTCAGGTATTTATCTATCAGGGTTTACAGTCAGGTTTTTATGATGAACCCCTCGTCTGACAACCGGTACATCTTAGTCTTTCACAATACCTCATACTCTGCAACTAGACATATGCGACGGATAAATTATATAAGCTGAAAACAGTTTGCGTTCAAATGACTAAGAGAATGGTGTCATCACGTGAGGCATATATATATATATATATATATATATATATATATATATATATATATATATATATATATATATATATATATATATATATAATCGTTCACTCCACAATCGGTTTCAAAAGGAAAGCTCCACTAAACTTGCGAAATACATCTCATCGAACGAATGAGGATTATGGCTAAACGACTTCCAATTATTCTCATCAAAATGACTCACTTGGGTATCTTTTGTAGCTGGGGAATGTAAGCATCACACATAGTAAGGAACTCTAATTCATCAACTTCGTCACAGTCGCAACTTTCTATAATACCCTCCAGATACGTAATTATTTCTTCATCAAAACTAAGAAGGATATACTTCAAGAAATTAAATCTTACAGGCAACTTGAGTTCTGGACATGTGATAGCAAAAATTCAGTAAGACTCGACTTCAGATCCATTTCTCATGTTTCTACGACACAGAAAATATAACGTTTAGGATCAAAGGACTAATAAATACGTTACAAAATGAACTTCATTCCATAAGACTTTATTTAAATAACATATGGAATAAAATACTTGAGTCACATAGGAGCTGTATTTTACTCAAGTACGTTCTTCTTCGTTGGGTATAAATTGCTAAGAACAGATTGCCTTCTAAGGATCTCCAGTAATTCCTCATTTTTTTCAATTCTGCTTCCAGCACATTTTGATCTTTTACTTCATTAAGCCTTTTGAATGTTTTGTCTATCTTCCGCAGAAAGTATGAGCGGAAGTTATAGTCAGTAAACTTTTTTGCTTCTTGTAAGAGCTGTGAAGACAAATTTTGCATGCGAACTGAGAGGGAGGACATTGACGACAATAAGAAATATGAAGGTAAAACTATTTACGTATATGCCGCCAGTGAAGTAGTCACAGTGAGGCTTATCCAATATCCAATATTCATAGTGCGAGCGTAGAAAACCTGTAGTTTTTGATCTCTCGCGTCTAGGCTTACAATGAGAATTGACCAGCATTTTTGGAGCAATGTATGAGCTAATCAGCTGTTATAGGCGCGCTCACACAAATGAAACCAGCTGTTCAGATTGTAAGAAACCTCCCGGATATACTATAACCAACATTTAACATCAATATTGCTAGCGTAGGAAACTGATAATATTGACACCTCACACCTAGTTATTCGGGCTTGGCTCTGATTGTTCGGTCTCTTCCTGGAGTAGGTAAGCAAAGTATTTTGCTGTCGTGCTTTTAGCTCGATAAGACGAATGCTTTTTGAGGGTTGGTAATTGCAATTTTGTAGACTGAAATGGTTTGAAGTTACGCGTTGCTGGGATCATTAATGGTCTTTCATGAATCCTGTTTATATACATGCCTCAATAAAAATTGTAAGATACAGGGAAAGGGTGTTTGGGATTTACCCGCGACGCAAAGATAGATAGTATACGTCAAGTTCCAAGAAAAGAGTTATCAGACAATGCAAGTGTATCAAGCAGAGAGATGGCTAGTGGAAAATAGGTAGGAAGCAGTGGTGGCCCAGTGAGGTTGTAGCATCGCACGCTTCTCCAAACTCAATAGCTTGAGGTTCGACGGGATTCAACATGCGTGCTGATCTTCATAGTTTAACTGGACTCGCTAAACTGAAGGCACCCGGTCAAGCATCCACGCCATTTGGCACGCTGTCATGTTACGTTGCACTGTTCGAAATCGACCCTATAGACAGTTAGTTGGAACGCGTTGGTATCTTGACAAGACCTCGCAAATATACTATTTCATCCGACTAAGCTATTTTGTTCTTTCTTGGCCTCGTATTGGTGGGTATATAACATGTTCGAATAACCAGTGGTTGGCCCTTGCGTCTGTCAAGTTTGCACCAGGACAATTCGCAAAGTGTCAATAACACTCTGAGTAAGCTATACGAAGTGCTCTGACTGTCCAACCGTCTGTAAAGCGAGTCTTCTGTGGGGGCTGTAAGGCATTCCATGGAGCGCATACTTTAAAACAGGAAAGGTTAGATCTGAACCTAGTATTAGCTCTCTGTTGTGCTGTTCTGATGGGGTTCTCCCATGTTGCGGGGGAGGGTAGTTTAGTCCTGTCCACTGCTTAATGGATGACGTTAGAGACCACAACGAGGTCACCTCTCTCTCCGTGATAGCCTAAAATCAGTAAGTCTGGTTGTTCCCTTCTTTTAGGGCATGCTCCACTCCTTAGCCCCACGAATGACCTCGTTGCAGATCTTTGTGTTTTCCCAGGGAGATTGGAGTCTCTCCTGAGTGCCGAACGTGCCACCGTATTGAAAACTTTCAGCTGCGGCCGTACGTGGGATTTAAAAACTGCAGGAAATAGTTCATGGGCGGGGGCATCAAGCTGCATACTTGCAGAGTGTAAAATGTCGTTCGCTACGACTGCCATTTCTCAGCAGGTAGGGCTGGTGTTCAGGGTGGCCGCAAAGCTCAACGCATTTTCCCGCAGATACTTTGGTGGTAGCTCGGTCGCCAAACTCATATTAGATATCGGCCGTCCTTGCTTCGCAGGCACCGATGTTCATTATTTTACACTTTCCCGGGCTGAGGCCCAAGCTACCTTCCGCCGACCAAAGTTTTAGCAGCTGCAGGTAGTTTTACAGTGCTGTACAGCCACCCCCTTCCGTCACAACTCTCCAAACTTTAATGCCATCGGTGAGAAGACGGGTGGGCGAAAAAATTTTATGTGGCAGACCACTGACGAACAGAAAGTATCTCACAGTGCATTCAGTAAATGACTTCTCACGGTCTCCTTGTTGACCTTGTTGTAGCATGGGAAAGTTCTAAGTGCCGCCGGTTGGAGCCTCCCTAGTGATCATGAAGAAAGCTAATACTGCGTGCTCATAGAGGTCAAAGGGCGTTAATATGCGTACGTTTTCTGTGAGAAGACCACAGTAGGTCAGAAGGTAGTTTAGGTGCGATGCATTCCCTTTTGGCCCCCGACGAGTGGCAACCCGCTTTCTTGGATAGACAGACAGTCTTGACTGCACTCTTCATATTCTGGCTGAAGGATCTGGTGTGCCTCCATTCTGTCTTGAAGACGATGAACGTAGTGTGGAACAAAGTTTTTAAAATTTGGTACTGGAAGTATTCGGCTGCAGATCGCTGGGTCGGCAGTTCGTCCATCCCTGAGCCTTTCAGTACATCTCCGTTGCTAGCTGCTACAAATTTGGAACCTTTTCTCACCCGTTAATTCCCTTGTTAGGAGATGAATTATCACACTAGTTATCACAACTATCAAACAGTCAGTGTGACCGTTTCAGCCATAGTTCGGCGAACCGGTATTGTTTGTACCAGGTGATGATTGAACGTACAGCTAACATGAATGGCAGCCTTCAGATGCGGTGTTGTATGCATGCACTTCCATGAGGCCTCCTTTTGTAACGAAATCGGGCCGGGAAAATCCCACGCACAAGCCTCCGCACCAGTCTCCTGGTAGAGAGTCTTTGGGCACTCCTCGATGAAGACGAGTAAACCTTCCCCTTGTATACTTGACTTAATATAAATTTATGTCCGCGGCTGCACGTGAGTGTGCGTGTGAGTACCAATTTAAGCGTTTGGCGACTACGTTAGATGACAGAGGTGTCAGTATCCATCGGCTAATGCACGTAGTATACCAAGAGTTATCCCCGCCTACGTTGTCCCTTTTTGATCGTGGGCTGTGCCCCGGAAATAACAAGCGATGTAAATCGTATGAGGTCGGGCAAACAAAGAGCATATATACAACTCGTTGATTTCACCCAAGAAAATCACATTTTAACCCATATAGGTCACTCCATCATGTAACAAGAGATAGTTCAGTGGGGGGTTCATGACACCCACTGGAAATTTGTTCGTTTTGGAAGGAATCGGTCGTTACCAACATACTCGCAACGGATATTTACCAACAGAGTTGTGATTTAAACTTAATCATGTGCATGGGCAAAGTGTTTTAGCGAAACGGGATATTTCATCCGTCCTGACGGTACTCAGTCTAACCCAGGATGCGTGCTTCGTTCTGCTTGGGACTTGTCAGCTGGTTGCACCTAAAACCCAGTGAATGCTAGCTGTTGGCACCGAAACTCGCGCCTAGAGTGTTTACCTCGAACGCCGGAGCGTTACCCACCGGGCCTTGTGGACATGACAGCCACCACCTGTGCAAGAGGTACCATTTGTTGTTACTTGGTAATTGTAATTTTCCATTGCAGATCCATCCAGCTGACCAGCCGCAAAGAGTGTGAAGCAGGCTCTGGATTCCAAGGTGAATACACCATCGAGAATATGTGGTGTTACCGAAGCGTGCGCGCGGGAGCTGGTCAGCCAACAGGTGTCGAGCAATTCTACCCTGTAAGGCAACAGGAAATCACAGGTATCGAACAATGAATGGGTGTTCTTTTTCCAGAATTATGGGATGTCGCCTTATATACACACCAATAAATGCGCAAAGAAATACTGTATCATATTGTGGTCTCGTTAAAGACGTGACCAGCTGATTTTTCACCGCGGCACCAAAATTGTGTAATATAGGATGTGTCAACCGGCAAGCCACCACCGTTACGCTATACAAACGTCTATTTTACCATAAATCCTTATACTTGTAGCTTCGGGTACCAGAAGAACCCACACTGACGGCGTTGAGAATCCATAAGCTTCCATATAATCATGTAGTCCAAGTGAATATCTATTCAAGTGTTATCATTCACAGCAATATAGATCTATGCCATCAGAATTAGATATTGTGGTGCAAAGGAATAAACATTTGAAAAAACCGCGGACCAATGGCAAAGAGTTTTTCATACTGTTCATGTTAGGGTATGCAGCGTTGTCACTGTTAGATGAAGTACTAGGGAAGTCTGTCTCATAGCATTATTGTGAATATGTTCACTTTAAAGCTAGTAGGTGGATTTTACTGTCTGTCCAGATTTTTGATGCCATTATGACCGTCCAGAAATTTGAGCAATTCGAGGATTGATATGTGTTCATTTGGTGAGAGGGTCGAATGAGTGAATGGGACTAGTAATTCTTGCTTATTGGACAGTAATTTTCATGGGAGCATAGTTTCGTTGCTTCAAAAGAAGTGGAATGTTGGGAATCGGTAACGTATGTTCCTCATTTGTGTCCTGTTGTCATCATTGAAGGTTATCTTAATAATATGGGTATTAGAGAACCCGAGTTAAACCCTTCGATCTTTTAGTGTTCAGATTTCCAGATTATTCGGTAAGTTTTCATCATGGTCCAGTTTCTTCATAGTCCAACGATATCTTCATGTTGCAACCATCTGAAACTTTGGTAGAAAAACAACAAAAACAGGTGTAGACTCTGAACCTTTGAGGTTGTAAATTGTTTACATATTGAAAGTTCCTAATATGTCTCTAGCTCTAGTAGCAGTATTAGTGATTCTTTTTATGGTGCTGTCCTGTAGTGTGGAGTTAAGCTGTCTTATGAACCCAGTCAAAGTGTTTGATTCTCGTACTTCCGTAGGTAAGCTGTTTCATATCTCAGCATATTTTATCACAAAGAAGTTCCCCCTAGTGGCTGTTCTGAAATGCTCAATTGCTACTGTTGCAGCTACATCGCTTAAGGCACATGCAGTTTTGTTTATGAGCCACGTGTCTGTGAATGCACTGTAAGTTAACCTGTTAAGGAGATTACAAAACAGCATCAGGTTCAGTCTGAGCCTTCGTTTCCATGGTGGTTCGAGTCCCAGGATGTTGCACCTGGTGGCATATTTTGCGTCGTTTTTAGTGTTGAGCAGTCTCGTCGTAAAGTATCTCTGCACTCCTTTGACTTTCAGTCTATTCGCAACCCGTATACTGCTGTATACAAATGAACAATATTCGAGGAGTGGTCAGACACATGTTGTATGCAGGATAACTCTTGAATCGGTGCTGTAGAAGTTTCGTAATAAGAAACCGACCAGTTT